TTGCCACTTTTTCTCATTAAACCACGTTCGAATCGTGGAAATTTTGGAAGATCACAGGGTTGATTTTAGCATTTAGACAAAGACAAAGAAAGACACCTTGAACTTAGAACTCTTAGGGCCGTTTGCACCATGTCTAGTTAATTCTAAAGGCTCTGTTATGCATACTTGGCATTGCTTGAGAGTTGTCATATAAGGAATCTGTTAAATGAGCTTCGCGTGTAAGCGGTTACCCAACGCACAGCATTACATACGTAAAAGTCTGTTGGTTTTTGATTTCTACGTAAAAATGGTATAGCAGTGCATGCAATGCCAAGTATGCATAACAGAGCCTTTACTCCCAGTTAAACATCTTTATCGACGTTATCGACACCCATCATATAACATGTGATCGATAAAGCAGTTAACGTGCTTAACTGAAGGATGTACCTCCAGTTAGCGTTAACTAGACATGGTGCAAACGGCCCTTACTGGCAACCTGACAGCACACTGCAAGTTAACGTACGGTTTTACATAAATGGGTCTTTCTTTAGAGGCGAACTGTAGGGTTTGTCGGCTGGTGAAAGAAACCCCAGAGTATATTCTATGTGCCTGTCCACGAAGCATGAATCGTAGATTGATACACCTTGGAGAACGATTGCCTTCTCCATCTAAAATTTGGAACATGGACTCATCTAAAGTGCTGAGCTTTTTAAATAGCCTAAGGTTGGAGTGATTACAATTTTGATTTAGCACAATATATCTTCTTAGGTCGCAGCGCGGGTATCTTCGACGTAATAATAATAATATTGTCACTAGACACGAATAAAGAGCTCGGAAAAACTCTTTGGGGAATACTGTTGCACTCGAAAATATAGTTGACCGCGGACATAAGTTTATGGGTCTTTCTTCGCTGTCAAATAGGTTAACGCGGCTTTATTTGCCGTCACCTATGTTAGGAGTCTTCCTTCGCCGAAATTTTTTTACGCCTCTTTTTTCGCTATCAACTTTTGAGCTCGCGTCTGTATTCGTATCTAGTGACGATATGTATGCATGTGTAAAGAGACATATGTACATATGGATAAGTCTGTACAGTAAAGTGAATCGTTATACCCATTTAATTTGTTTTTATTAATTTAGTTGTGTTTTAGTTTTACTAGTTTATGTTAACTATGTTTTTAACAAATTTGACATTGACATTGACAAATAACGCAGATCGGAATATGTGCTCTGGGAAGACAATACCTGTAATTATTGTACCATGACACAAATTAACATAAATCGCAATAAATTTTTTTCATATCAAGTTTATTGTGAAAGACATTTATTATAGTTGTGAGTCCAGACTAGTCAGAAATAGTCAGAATCAGTCAGATTTCACTAGAAATCTATCCCGTACTCGGTTCTCTGACTACTGAGAGGACAAAAAAGAGAGTAAATAAAGTCGTCTCTCTGTCAGAAGTTACCAGTTTTAGTACGAAGATTTATTTGCTGGTAAATTATGGTAAATGTGTCAAACGATCAGCTGTAGTGTGTTTGGCATCCAAATTGTAAACAAAAGGAAAGTGCACTCTGCTAATTTATGTTGAAAAGTGTTTAATTACTTGTTCAAGTTGATTCTAATGAATTTTAAACTATTTTCGGTTATTTACATGTGTGAGCTGAACGTGTTTACATACAAAATAAGCAAAAATTTACAACCAAAATTTGGAGGTTATGTTGAAGTTGACAGAAGTTACCATTTTTACTAGAAAGCGATCCCGTACTTTTCAATGTTACTCTCTCGCTCTAAGCGAATTTTTATTTTTTGACAGTTTTACTAGTTTTAGTCCAAGAAACACGGGATTGCACCTTATATTTTATTTTAAGCAATCTTTACAAAAATATATTGCGAATATTATGTGATCATTTTGAAAATGGGTGAAATTTCATCCGAAAATCGCTAATGTAACTACAAAAATAAAACTAAAGTTGTTCACACATGTAAGAAAATACGCTGATTTTTTATAACCCAGTAGCGAAAATGGTCACTAATGAGGATTTAGCAACATTGTCGCACTTGCTGTAAATCTTAAACGACATATACATGTGACATATACAATGACACTGATGACAATGTCATGCAGGTGTACTCCTATCAAGGACTTATAACAGACAATGTCTTGCAGCGGTCACTTATAAAAAGTTCATTGCAGGACATTGTCGCTTGAATGTCATCAATGATCACTTCATGACAAAGTCATGCAGAGGCCATTAACGACAAAATTACCATTTGTATGCAAAACTCATGAACGACTTCCATATAAACGGAGCCCAAAGTCATTGAAGCCTTAATATGGCCGTACAAGACACTTAAGTGACTAATGCATGATATTCGCTACGGGGAACATGTGGTCATCACGGACAAATACATTAAGGGCCGGTTGTTCTATGTCTGGTTATCACTACCACTACACTATCGACGATTTCGACATAATGCATGTAACATGTGATCGATAAAGCAGTAGTTGTGCTAAACCGGAGCTTCTACCTCCGATTTGTGCTAATCAGACATTGAACAACCGGCCCTAAACGTGATATTTTTTTACTTAACAATTTGAAAACTACTTGGCTTTACTTCTCAAAATGGCTGAATTTTCACCCGAAGATCGTATGAGGGTTAATTGAAATTTATCAGGTATGTTCTGCAAATCGTACGATTTCAAATCGGTGCGATTTGCAAAGTTTTGTTGTATATTTGTAATCAAAGTATTAAATGTTTCAATTGAAAACTGCTAGAAACACTTACATTATATCCATCGATTTAGTGCCAAATTTTTCCCTCTTTGTTATAAATCCTCCGAAATAGATTTTGTATATCATATTATAAGAAACTTGCCTAGTTTATCGATATCTTTCTTGGGAAATGTTTAGTACCACTCACACCGTTTTTTGGGTGGGGGCGGAGGGGGAGGGGGCAGGCCCCCAAAACACCCCCCAATAGAAAGGAGACAGTCGCCGCTTTCTAAAAAGGGGAACCCCTCCCTTGGACTCCTCCCACAGGCACCTAGGGAACCGTTTGAAAAAGGGGGAAAAACGGATTTTTCTTAGGCAAACTGAGCAGTTTGAAGTGGAATATGACCCAACTAACAGAAACCGTGGAATTTTTTAATAAAAGAAATTATGCCTAATTAGATATGGGGGGATTTTGAATAAAGAATAAAAAGTTTATTAAAAATAGAAAAAAAAAGTTTTTATAAAAAAAAATGTTCTTTTTAACAAATGTATTTTTGCGTAGAATTCCTTTCTACGTAAGCGGCCTTCGGCCGCACTTAGGGATTATAACCCTCAGGCAGTAGAATTCTCCTTTC